GTCCAATTCAAGTCTAATCTTCCACAAAGAGTAATGCGTTGACCAAAATTTTAGACCAAATTTGCAAATCATATAACGTGTCACCAAAAAGTTTAATTTAGTACCAATTTATTTCTTATACATATCAATTTAAGACTCAAAAATATCATTATTTTTTAAGTTCCATATTGACAAGGTTAGTAAGAAAAACACCTCACGATTTATACAAAAACACTTTAAAAGTTCAAATAGAAAACAAAACTCATATCTATCTACTTGTAAACCCAGAATTTTTTTGTTTCCTTCTCACGATACAAAATTAATTAGTTTTTCCTTGTTTCTAAATTATTAAGTTTGAAGTGTTTTTCTAAGTATAATTTTATCGATGTCTTACATGTGAAAACAAATAATTTTCTTATATAAAGTAAGGGCACATTTTTTGGCGTTGCCTGGGGCCTCAAAAATCTCTAGACCGGCCCTAACTTTAATTTATAAGGAAAATACATGCATTAGTTATCTTATAAAAAAAAAAAACTACAAAAGATACAAGTACTTTAATTTAGGGAACTGTTATTAGCACTCTAAAAATCTCATTTTACACTTCTCACAATTGTATTTTTCTTTCTAATTATAGAAAGTTTGGAGTGCATAATGAGATTTGGGGAGTGCCAATAACAATTCCCTTTATTTAAAGGAAAACTAATGAAAATGACTTCAAGTCTTTACATTTTAATGAAAAATCATCTACCAACTTTATTTAATGATAAGGACAAAAGAATTAAAAAAAAAAAAACATAAAGAACCCAACTTACGCTGGGCTCGTCCCCTATATAAATTGATACAACAAATCCTTCATGTTTTGCTTGGTGCACACATTGTGAAAACTCAGTTACTTTGGAGTTGGTCAAAGCCCATGCCTACATAAACACCACCCCCACCCACCCACCCCCCTTTCCACACTTCACCTTTTTCTCTCATTGTCAGCTACATTAATAGATTTTTTTTTTGTTGTTGCTTAGAATAAAAAAAAAGACTTCAAATTGAATTACATTTTTAGTTTTATTTTTGTGGTGTTGTTTTTCAATGGTAGTCAAGATGACGAGAGATTTTTCAATGTATCTGTAACACGGGATGGTATACCACGTGTCTACATACAAGTAGTGAGATGCTTGTGTTAAAAAATTAATAATGTTGATGCACAAAATTAGCGAGACTTTGGAACAACGTAAAATGTCAGGTTTGTGACCTTCGCCCGGTTGATCTGGTCACTTAGTGAGGATAATATGTAAAAGGAGAGAGATAGGGAAGCAAACACAAGATGTACGTGGTTCACCCTAAGTTTGGCTATGTCCACGGAGTAGAGAAGTTCTAATTAATAGTGAAGGGTTACACAAATACATAAGTTAAAGCATAATCATCATTAGTGGGTTCTAATGACTATTTTAAATACAATAATGACATTAGAGATTAATTGTAGGAGAATGATCTTCTTTTATAATTGAGGAGAGTCTCCAACTTTTGGCCGCTGTCGATGTGGGACTTTATGAGCTTTATTATGACATTGACATGTGTCGTGTTGTGATTGGATGGAAACTCTTGTGCTTCGGCTTGGATGCCTCAACATGAACCCCTTAGTGAGTCCTTGAAGGTATGACGTTGACCGGTGTTTGATAGTTTTAGGATTTGTCAAGGATGGTACAAACAAATAACATAAAAAATAAAATTTTTCGCCACTAAAATAATGATACGTGGTGTATCGTTTGTGTTACGGGCATAAGGAAAAATTTCCCACCACTTAAATAGTATTTAGTATTTTAATTTGGTAATTGAAAATAGCTTTTTAGATATAATTATTGAGAACATCTTCTCAAGGTTTTGATTTAAAGGATCACTATTGGATTCATCATTTTTGGTGTAATGGTTGCTTTTACAAGACCAAATAGGGTCTAAGTTTGAAACTGAACTAAGAATTAGACACTATTTATAAAACTTGACCAATAAGTAGACACTATTTATGAAACTGGGGCAATAAATAGACACTATTTATGAAACTGGACCAATAAGTAGACACTATTTATCAACCGAAGCCAAGAATTAGGCATTATTTCTAAAACTAAACCAATAGGTGAAAACTATTTATAAAACTGGATTATACAGTATTTATGAAACTAGACCAAGAACTAGACATTATTTATAAAACATGACCAAGAACTAGGCACTATATATGAAAGTGGACCAATAACTAGGCACTATTTATGAAAGTGAATCAAGAACTAGGAAATATTTGTGAAAGTAGACAAAAAACTAGACACTATTTATGAAACTTGACCAATAAATAGTGTAGTACCGTATTCATAAATAGTATTCAGTTTTATAAATAGTGTCTAGTTTCATAAACAATGTCTGTGATGGATGTGCGAAACCCCGAGCGTCAGGTCTTTTTTTTTTTAATTTTTTATAAAATTAAAATTGTGTCATTTTCATTAAAATTTAAGTTCTTTTGTCATTTTTATTAAAATTTAAGGGTTTTTCATTAATATTTAATTTTTTTCATTAAATAAAGTTATAACATGGTTTTGGTTACAATAAACTTAGCCCAAGCCTTTTTCATCAAAGTTCCCTTAATTTAAAGATATAATTTGACAGATGAGTAATGTCATTATAACGCACAAAATTGAAAGACACCATTCAATGCAGATAGACTTACATATAACTGTAGGGTCTAACTCTACTATGGTCATATAAACATTTTTTTTTTTACGAATGATAAGATTATTTATAAGAAAAACTAACAAAAATGGCTTCAAATCTTTGCATTTTAATTAAAAATCATCTAATAATTTTATCTAATGATAAAGACAAAAGAATAAAAAAATATAAAAAAACATAAAAAACACAAACCTGCGCTGGGCTCGCATACACTCACCCTCCCACACTCCTCTTTTTTTTCTCTCGTTGTCAGCTATCGTTAAGAGATTTTTATTTTTTTGCTTAGAATAAGAAAAAGACTTTAAATCGAATTACATACCCCAGTTTTATTTTTGTGGTGTTGTTTCCCAATAGTAGTCAAGATGACACCCAAGCTCAAGAAAATTAGACGAAGAGCTACATTTAATTATTGTAGGTATTTAAAATATGTGAGGGAATTTTAATTTGGTAATTGAAAAAATCTTTTTAGATATAATTATTGAGAACATAATCTTCTCAAGGCTTTGATTTAAAGGATCACTTCTAGATTCATCATTTTCGGCGTAATGGGTGCTTTTACAGGACCAAACATGGTCTAAGTTTCAAACCTTATGAAACTGAACCAAGAATTAGACACTATTTATAAAACTTGACCAATAAATAGACACTATTTATGAAACTGGACCAATAAGTAAACATTATTTATGAAATTAGACCAAGAAGTAGACACTATTTATTAAACGAAACCAAGAATTAGGCACTATTTCTAAAACTAAACAAATAGGGAAACTATTTATGAAACTGGATTATATAGTATTTATGAAACTGTACAAAAAACTAGACACTATTTATGAAACATCACCTAGAATTAGGCACTATTTATGAAAGTAGACCAATAACTAGGTACTATTTATGAAATTGGAACAAGAAAGAGACACTATTTATGAAATTGGACCCAATAACTAGGCGCTATTTATGAAACATGACCTTGAACTAGACACTATTTATGAAAGTGAATCAAGGATTATGCACTATTTATGAAACTGGACCAATAAATAGTGTAGTACCGTTTGGTTTCATAAATAGTGTTCAATTTCATAAATAGTATAACACCGTTTAGTTTCATAAATAGTGTAGTACCGTTGAGTTTCATAAATAGTGTAGTATTGTTCAGTTTCAAAAATAGTATTTGTGATGGATGCAAGGGTCCCATGCGTCAGGTTTTTTTTTTTTTTAATAAATTTTTTTATATTAAAATTATGTCATTTTCATTAAAATTTAAGTTCTTTTGTCATTTTTATTAAAATTTAAGGGTTTTTCATTAAATAAAGTTATAACATGTTTTTTTGTTAAAATAAATTTAGTCTAAGCCCTTCTCGTAAAAGTTCCCTTATTTATACTAACCATGTGTTTTTTTTTTTTTTTTTGGTCAATTTTTATTAGATTAGCTACTGATTGGGTTCAAACTTAAACCATCATGCAAAGTCTTGACTCATTTTCACCAATAAAGGGCTACTTATACTAACCATGTGTTTGGATGAGAAAAGAAAAGTCGGGAAACGGAGCGTGGAAAAGTCGAAGTCCATCTTTTGGCAAAGTGAGTGAAGAAATTGGGATTTTACATGCGGGAAATATTGCAGGATTTATAGACTGAAATTTCCGAGTTCAGCTTTGGATGAAAATGTTAATTCCTGCCGCCCTTCCTCTTCGTTTTCTTTCTCTCGTCGCCCATTCCCCTTTGTTTTCTTTTTTCATCTGTTTTTAATCATTTCCTACACCTCTTTCCCTCGTCATGCCATCCCTCATATATTATGGATCACTCTGTAAAGATCGTATATGCAAAAAATGAATTAAAATTAAGGTTGTTTAGTCATCTAACTTTACACATTTGATGAACAAATTGGTAAAACTAAGGTTCGTAATGCTTTACCGATCTGTTCATCAGGTGTTGTATAGTTAGATGACCAACGACCTTAGTTATAATTGGTTATATATACAGGTGATCTTTATAAAGTGATTTATAATATAAACGGTTTTGATCATAAATACGAAGTTCTATAAATCGGCACGAACAATTCTGAGTAGGACCTCCTCCTCATTTCTTTGAGCAGCCAAATATTATTCTACTCGGAATTATTTAAGTCATGATTGGCGAAGTTAAGAATAGGGCAAAATGGAATCGGAAGGGGATGTACTGCTCCCATAACTAATCGAATTCCCTTTTTTTTTTTTTTTTTTTTTTTTTTTTTTTTTTGTTTAAGTTAGTGCATCATGAATTGCAGTATGGGAGGTCCATGTTTTTCTATTCCGTATAAGTTGTAACAGCCTCATAAAAAAGAATATTTCCACCATCGAAAAATGCCCTTTTTTTAGGTTGCACCATAAAAGTAAGGTTTGATTATTGGCATATTGGGAAAACTGATTATGTTTTCCACTAGCTAAATATTCGATGAAGTATTAGATGGGCTTGTCATTTGTCAAGCATGAACCTTTAAAATTACTTCACAAATTATAAAAGAAAATCCACTAAAACTTGAAGCAAGTGAAAATTTAGCACAATAAGGTTTGACATCCATGGAAGGAAGCACTAATTATTACTTGGCAATGATACTGGTTCAGCTGATATACGGCGGATCAAACGTCCTCATGAAACTATCCCTTCAGGAAGGACTCAATCAGATTGTCTTCGTGGTTTACAGGCATGTTCTTGCCATGGTTTTGGTAGGACCATTTGCTTATATGCTTGAAAGGTAGGGATTCTTGCCTCTTTTCAGACTTTCTTCTTGTACAAGAAACAGCGAAAACTAATTCGGTGATGGATGTGGCTGAACAGGAGGCAGAGGCCTTCGTTCTCATTTTCGATAGCTGCAAAGATTTTTGCTCTTGCATCACTAGGGACTACCATCCATCTTAATATGTTCTATGCTGGTTTAGCATACACTTCTGCAACAGTTGGATGTGCCTTGAGTAATGTTATCCCTGCTTTCACGTTTCTAGTGGCAGTTCTTCTCAGGTATGTTGTCTCCTCACATCCACTGTAGTTGTTGAGTAATGTTATTTTTTCTGTTCTGCAATTTGCTTAGTTTTATTCAGGATGGAGAAATTGAACATTAGAAGCACTCGAGGTCAAGCTAAGGTGGTCGGAACCCTTCTTTGCCTTGGCGGTTCTCTTATTTTCACCTTCTGGAAAGGAGGATACCTATATAAAGGTTTTCTTGAGAAGCCACTGATAGATGGTTTCAACGCTGAGTCTGTTGGCAAGATTCAGCATGTCAAAGAAAACTGGATCAAGGGTTCTGTGCTGATTCTGACGAGTTACTCTGCATGGAGTGCATGGCTAATCCTCCAGGTAATTGTATACTCCATTCAAGATGGTGCTCTCCAAACAAATATAATGTAAAAATTAAGTTTTATCTGCCCAAACCTGGTTTTCTGGCTACACAGGCTGTGATCTCCAAAGTCTACCCTGCTCCATTGTCACTAACCACCATGGTATGCTTTTCTGCATCGCTGCAATCTTCTTTCCTTGCCCTGTTTTTTGCTAGGAATCCAAGCTCATGGAAACTGGAGTGGAACCTTGAGCTGTTAACCATCGTCTACTTTGTGAGCGTTTTCTTCCATATATCTTACTTATAAGATCTGTTCAATGACAGAAATTGTGAATAGGACATGACGATGTATTTGCTGTTGTGAGACATTTTTCTATAATCTTTACCAACGTATCTGTTTTATGCATATTTTTAAAACATAATTCCGTAATTTACTTTTGTCCTTCTTGTTGGGAAATGAAATGCTTGAATCTGTAAAAACTTCGAGTCTTCATCCGATCATTTTGCAATAGGGAGTTCTGACCACAGCATTAGTCTATTGCCTGCAAACATGGTGCATCAGTCACAGGGGACCAGTTTTTTCAGCAATGTTTAGTCCACTTCAAGCCGTTACAGTGGCAGTGTTTTCGGCAATTGCTTTCGCGGAGCGACTTCACTTTGGCAGGTAAACCGAAGCACACACACTTTCATCCCTTTTCCATCTAACTAATTTCATTAGGACTATTTCCTTCGTCAGTATCCTCAAAAATTAGAAGTAGGTTTTGTGTGCAGCTTGATTGGAGCACTTCTCATTATTGCCGGCCTTTACTGCGTTCTGTGGGGAAAGAGGAAAGACAGTCTGGTTGCTGAACACGGAGAGATTGGAAAAATGACGATCGACGATAACAAAGTTGCAGAGAGTTCCATGAATGAAATTTCAGTAACCAACCCGGTCAGTGGAGAAAAGACAAGATCATGAAGACAAATTTCTTTTTTTTCGCCGTTGGATCATAAAAAAACGGTTGATGTAAGAAAAGTTGAGTTTTATCATGATCCAGAAAATCAATCACAGAAATTTCTTTCTTATTCATAATAATCACTAGTTCCACCTTATCAACAAGAGAATCCTTCTTTGCTTTCATGCTTTCATATGAATTATTTTGATCGTCTGGTCGATTCCATGAGCATATGTTTTGCAATAAACTTGTGTTTTTGAATTGGTGATCTATACCAGCAATATTTTTCTTTAAACTGGTCCTAATTGCGAGGACTTAGAATAATCAAAGTAGCGTGTCCACTTGGATTCTCAGTGGAGCACGCTATGCTCACTTAACAAAGGGATACGATATTATATTTCTTAATTGTAGATTACCGCTTTCTCCATTATGAAAAGGAAATTGAACTACGTTAGGATAGGTTCCTTTCAAAACACAAATTTTTTGTTTCAATACTTTGTTTAAAGTGAGAATTGTGAATTTAATTAGCACAATGTTGAACTGTCGTGTAATGAGAGAGATTAAGATATATCTCCTATTTGTGGTTATATCACCTGGTTACATGATATCTCCAATTCGGGGGTATATGACGTGTTAGAGTCTCCCCAAAATTTGGAGAAAACCAGTTCACTAAAAGTAATTTCCACTAATTAATTAAACTTAAAAGGGAAAATTTGAAATAGGTCCAATTTTATAGACTACCTTTTGAAATAGGTCCAATTTTTAGTGACTTTTGACTTTTGAAATAGGTCCAATTTTTAGTTACTTTGGACCTATTTCAAAAAACCCCTAATTAAAATAAGGTGTGTCATGTAGCATATTGTAAAGTGATGGGGTTGATCCTTCACAATTAAAAGGGTTTTTGTCATGATTCCACTAGCTAAAACTATTAGAAGGGTTTTTGTCATGTATTAACTCAGAAGAAGTGGATGGGGTTGAGGTTGATCCTTCACAATTAAAAGGGTTTTTGTCATGATTCCACTAGCTAAAACTATTCGAAGGGTTTTTGTCATGTATTAACTCAGAAGAAGTGGATGGGGTTGATCCTTCACAATTATATAAACCCCATTATAACTTTAAGCACAAGAAAGTTTGATATCGATGGAAAGATGTACTCATTACTTGGCAATGGAACTGGTTTAGCTGGTATATGGCGGATCAAATGTCCACATAAAACTTTCCCTTCAGGAAGGACTTATTAGAAAAGTATTTCATTTCCTTGAATAATTAGAGTACATTCGGTATTTATACAGAGAGCTATAGTTTGACAGCTCATCAAAATCTAACCCATAACTGTCCAATAACAAACTAATTGTCCAATGACTAATTACAAAAGAAAATCAAGATAAACTATCCTTAATATGCCCCCTCAAGCTGAACGTAGGCAACCAAAGTGATAGTTTGTCTCTGAGGAACAGAAAACAAGACTTGGACAGAGATTTAGTGCAGATATCGACAATTTGATCCTGTGAACACACAAACTGAACAGTTATAGCTTTAGAGAGGACTTTTTCCCTGATAAAATGATAGTCAATCTCCACATGTTTAGTCCTTGCATGAAATAAAGGATTTTTGGCTAAGGAAATTGCAAAAATGTTATCACACCACAATTTTGGAGGGTAAGGTAGAGACATACCAACATCAACAAGCAATTTACAAAGCCAAGAAATCTCAGCAGTAGTGTTAGCAAGAGAGTGAGACTCTGCTTCAGTGGATGAGCGAGCCACTGTTGGTTGCTTTTTAGCACTCCAACTAATAAGAGAGTTCCCCAGAAAAATACAAAACCCTAAAGTTGATCTTCTGTCCAAAGCACTCCCTGCCCATTCAGCATTTGAAAAGGCATTAATAGTGAGAGAACTTGAAGTTTTTGGAAACCAAAGACCTAAATCAAGAGTGCCTTTCAAATATCTCAATATTCTTTTAACTGCCTGCAAGTGAGACTACCGGGGTTGATGCATAAACTGACAGACCAAGTTGACAGCAAAGGAGAGATCTGGTCTAGACCAAGTAAGGTATTGTAACCCCCTACAATTGATCTGTACTCCTAGGGATTAGAGAGCAATGGAGAAGAGTGATCCAGTTTTGATGTACGTAAAGGTGTAGCACAGGGTTTTGCACCAGCCATGTTGGTCTTGGTAAGTAAATCAAGGATATATTTGGTTTGTGAAATGAAAATACCAGATGATGACCTTTTTACCTCAATCCCAAGGAAAAAAAAATGAAGAGGACCCAAATCCTTGATTGGAAAGAGAGAACTTAGTTGAGCTATTGTGTCCTTGCAAGCTTGTGAAGATGGACCTATGACCAAGATGTCATCAACATAGACTAGGACAAACACTAGAGAATGATCCTTCTTGACAAAGAGAGAATGATCATTCTATGATCCATGAAAGCCCATTGATTTAAGTGCACCATGAAGCTTCTCATACCAGGCTTGAGGAGTCTGCTTTAGTCCATAAAGGCTCTTGTCTAGCTTGCAAACATAGTGTGGCTTTGTAGGGTCTTAGAAGCTAGATGGTTGCTGCATAAACACATTTTCAGATAGATTACCATGTAAAAAGGCATTACTAACATCTAGCTAGTTTAGAAACCAATCATACTGTGATGCAAGTGTGAGAAGAAGCCTAATGGTAATTGGTTTAGCCACAGGACTGAAAGTTTCTATATAATCTAAACCCTCATGTTGATGAAAACCCTTGGCTACTAAACGAGCCTTGTATCTGTTAATAATACCATCAGCTTTCATTTTGATTTGGAACACCCATTTGCAGCCAACAGGATTCTGAGAAGGATGTGGGGGAATAAGAGACCAAGTTCCTATGTTAATCTATGCATTAAATTCCTCTTGCATAGCCTATCTTCAGTGAAGGTGTTTGGAAGCTTGGAGATAAGTAGCAAGAAGATAATATGCAGAAATCTGTGAATGAAGATGGTGTTTGGTAGCTGAATAGGCTTTAGGTTTAAAAATGTCGGATTTGGATCTTGTTTGCATAGGATGAGTGTTTAGAGGAGGGGTTGGTGAGATGTGTGGGGAAGGAGGAGAGATAGGGTAGAGGGAGGTAGTAATGTGAGGTGAAGAGGTTGAGTTAGGAAATGATGCAGGTTGGTTGAGAGTTGGAGAATGATAAGATGCTGCAGGGAGCTTGGTGAAGGTAAGAGTGAAAGGTATATGAGAAGAAAGGGTAGAAGCTGAGGATGAAGATGATGAAACTGGGGAAACTTGATGAAATGGGAAAATCAGTTCATCAAAGATGACATGCCTTGAAATATAAACCTTTTTGGAGTGAATATCAAGACATCTATAACCCTTGTGATTGAGACTATAGCCAAGAAAGACATATGGCTTACTTTTGGGTTCAAGTTTAGAACCTACATAGGGTTTTAGCCAAGGAAAACACCTGTACCCAAACACTTTAAGTGTTGTATAATTTGGAGACTTGCTAAAAAGTTGTTCCCAAGGACATGATCTAGACATAGTAGGCAATCTATTTATCAGATAAACTGTTGTGAAGAATGCTTCAACCCAGTAAACGTGAGGAACATGAGAAGCAGCTAAAAGTGTGCGAGCAGCTTCTACTAAATGTCTATGCTTGCGCTCCACACAACCATTTTGTTCTGGTGTGTAAGGGCATGGGAGTTGATGATGAATACAATTGTCTTTAAGATATTGAGTAAACACTAAACTAAGGAATTCACCTCCAGAATCAAATCGTAAAATGACAACTTTATTAATTAACAAAGATTCAGCAAGAACTTTGAATTCAAGAAAGGTTTTGAACACCTCAGATTTACATTTGATCAGAAAAAACCATTATATCGAGTGAAATCATCCACTATAAGAAGATAAAACCGATAACCATATATAGAGAGAAGTAGAGCTGGACCCCAAACAACTGCTTGTAAAAGTTCCAAAAGTCTAGTAGTAACACTAGAAGCTGACACAAATGGCAGTTTTGAACTTTTAGCCAATGCACAATCTGAACAGAAGGTTTTATTTATGTTAGTAGTGAGAGGAATACTAGACTTAGAAACAAGTTTATGTAAAACTTTGAAAGAGGGATGACTTAATCTTTGATGCCAAATCTCTGGAGAAGCTTTGACAGTGGCTGCAAAAAGCTTATGCGATCCATCATTGACAGATGCAATGAATGGATAAAACCCATTTTGTACAGGCCCTTTAAAAAACGTCATCTTTGAAGTAAGATCCTTCACAGTGAAGTGAAAAGGATATAGATGAATTGAACACCAATTATCAAGTGTAAATTTATTTGCAAAGAGTAAATCTTGCTTTAAAGCAGGCACATGTAACACATCATGCAAAACAAAACGATGGTGATGAGTAGATATAAAGGAAGAACCATAATTAGATATAGGCAAACCTTTGCTATCACCAATGTAGACTTATTCAGGGCCGGTGTATGGTTTTGGATGTTAAAGATTTGCCAGAGAACTTGTTATATGTGAGCTAGCTCCGGAATCAAGAAGCCAAGAAGGAGAAGCAGTCTGTGAAGGATTAGCACACATAGCCATCTGAGAATGTCGATTGCCAAACTGAGGATTCATACGGTGAGGGCAATCAGATGCTTCATGATCATACTGATGATAGATTTGACAAGTGGTTTTTTTTTTTTTTCCATTGAAATTAGAACCCGAGCGACCTCCACGATTGTTCCTTTGAGTATATTGATTGTAATTCTGACGTTGATTGTTATCACAATAGCCGGAGAAATTGCCCTTATTTTGAAAATGCCTAAGGTTTGACTGATTGCAATCTTGAGAATGGCCTTGATACTGGTTAAATTGAGATGAATTCTGAGCAAGAAAGGCGAGAGAGCCAGAATTGGAAGTCGGTGTAGGTAGAATGCCAGACGATGATGCAAGATTCGAATTAAAGGCCTGAAAAACACCAGAGGATGTAGTAGCTTTCTTGCGTAAGCTGAATTTCTTTACTCAGAAGTAATCCACATAGCTCATCAAATGTTGTAGAATTGAGACGGAATTGGATCACATCAACAAAGGAATC